CAAGTTTAGTACAAACTTTCTCTCTGATAAACAAAAAGGCATTTAGCCTGATTTCAAACTGTTAAAAAACTGTGAATCTTTCCTCTTTATAATACAACTTTTTACCTTTACTTTGTACATGTCAATTTCAGAAATAGGAATACCAATGAAATATATATAAATAACTTATCAAAATTAAACGTACTGGTGTACATTTAATCTTGATCAGTCTGAAGGTCCAACATAAACACAACTTTGAAAATCGCATTCAATTTAGTAAAAGACAAACAGACACGAAATTTCGAAAAAATACTATTTTGATTTCTATTTCTCTTATTAAGACTTCTCATATCTTTATTTCTTAAATATACCCATTCCAGTAAAAGTTTGAGGGGCACAGGCTGTCATTCGCTGATTAACTCGTCGAGAGGTAAGAGCGGCGGCTGGCGGCAGTGCGGGCGAGGGCCGGGCCGGCGATGGAGCCGGCGGGGGTCAGGCACTCTGCTCGAACATAATATGTATCATTTTCTTCCTGCTTCCTTTTTTTGTTTCGTTTCATTTTGCGTGGCGATAAAGGTGCGTGCGGCTGAGAAATGAACGACGATTTAAGTTTTGTTGTTCGTTTTGTGGGTGACTAGTATTAACTTTAGTTTAAAGAATATATATATTTAAAAGAGAAGCTAGAATGTCTATCTAAAATTACTTCAAACACACAAAAAAGAAAAAAGAGACATAAACAAGACTGCATCAATACATTGTAACGCTTATGGTACCTCTCATACCTTGCCATTGCTGAAAATTAAAGCGTTACGAGCCATGTAATATTTAAGTAATAATATATATCTACATATATTCGTATACATACGTACACGTATAACTCGTGTGGTCCCGGCATAGAATGGGCCATGTCTTTTTCCCACGGGTGTCATAAGAGAAGGTAGGGCTAAGGAATGGGCAGCAGCGTCCTTGTTAAAACATCAACAAAAGTCTAACTGTGTGTAGTGCAGTTGCCAACCCGCCTGCTAAGCATAGCAACTACTGGCATAACTTCTTAAGGGGGAGGTCTATGTTCAGCAGTGGACAATTAGCGGTTGATATGATGATTACATACCTCAAAATCAACTAAGATTTGCTGATTGATGATAGAAATTAGTATATATGCAAACTATTGTTTAGAAATACTCTCACAGAGGCACAATATACTTAATGATGATTTTTTTGATGGGTGAAAATGATATGGTAACCCCGCCTGCGCTAACGGGATACGCTGGCGGAGCACCAGTGAAGGGTGATAGATGAGAATGAAAACAGGTCAGTTAGCCCATCATGATGAATTCATCAGGAATTAACCATGATAGTCTCCAGGGAGAACCGCGAGGAGATCGACGTGGTTGGGTATATTGCTAGCAATGGGATTCTCAGTCTCCATTACTAACAATCCCTTTCCTCCGCTTAATGATGATTAGAAAGAATTTTAACTAACTTTGTAGTGACCAAGGACCGAAACTATGTAGTATGCATATTCAGCTTTGGAATTGTTTAAGATACCTATGAATATTCCGACTTTAACGCAGGAAATGAATATGGTTATTATGTATTTTCCGCTCCGGGGTAATTAAAATACAATTGAGTGTAATGTTTTTTGTCATGCATCTCTGATATTAAGGCGCTGGAAGGGGTTGCGTGGGTGTAAGCAGTGCTTACAGCCTACGCAACACACGTGGCCGGATGTAAATATATATTTCGGGACTTTTACATTACCAACTTTCTTTCATTAGTTTTATTGACGTGGCGTATTTATGTAAATCTATAAATTTGATTTACGACTAGTCATATTTTCTTTAAAGATAATATATAGGATTACGGGCTTTGGACAAATTAAGATACAATTTGAGCACTTGTGAACTGCATAGATATCATTCACGTATTATGTCAGCGTAGATTATAAATTTCATGGCATTGTTTAAATTACTACTAGAGAAAAGCCTTTTAAATATTACTACTTATAATATACTTATATATATATATATATATATATATATATATATATATATATATATATATATATATATATATATATATATATATATATTATCATCATATTAGCCGTCCACTGCTAAACAACCTCTATAAAGGGGGGTTTGCAGTGTTGCCACGCTTAGCAGGAGGACTGAAAACAGTAGTTAGGCTTTAATGATGTTCTAAGAGAGACATTACTGCCCATTTCACGATCTTTAAGTATAATATATAGTATTGACTTTGAGTAGTTCCAGACTACAATTATTATTAAAAGTAAATTATTTCTAGAGCTTGTATTATGGATACAAATTGCGGTATAAATCCTTAAACATATTATAATGACAATTAATATTAATAGATAATTAAGATACGAGGTTTGTCCGGAAAGTACGTATAAAAGTTTTTTAAAAATTTTATTTTACAATTATTCAGGTAAATCAATTTTATCCCCTTCAAAGTACTCCCCCTGTGACATAATGCACTTGTGCCAACGCCGTTTCCACTGTGAGAAGGCTCCTTGAAAGTCCTCTGGTTGTAGGTTTCTCAGCTGCCCCGTCGTAGCTTTTTTTATCTCATTTATGTCCCCCAAATGCCGCCCACGAAGTACCAATTTGGTTTTTGGGAACAAGAAGAAGTCACACGGGGCCAAATCCGGCGAATAGGGGGGGTGTTCGGTCACCGTAATGGAATTTTTACTCAAAAACTCACGGACAACAAGAGAGGTGTGGGCAGGGGCATTGTCGTGGTGAAGAATCCAACGCCCCTCTCGCGCCAATTCTGGACGAACTCGTGCCACACGAGCTTTGAGGCGTCTGAGCACATCGACGTAGAATTTTCCATCAACTGTCTGGCCTGGAGGGACGAATTCTTGATGGACAATCCCCCGAACATCGAAAAAAGCAATCAACATTGTCTTGACATTTGAGCGGGATTTTCTTGATTTTTTTGTTCGTGGTTCCCCGGATGTCTTCCACTCTTTGCTTTGGGATTTTAATTCGACATCAAATTCGTAGAACCAAGACTCATCTCCAGTGATGACTCGGTTCAAAAAGTCACCATTCTCTTCGGCTTCCAACCAGTCCTCACAGCAAGCAACTCTTCGTGATTTTTGATCCGGGGACAAAAGCTTGGGAACGATCTTGGCGCAAATTTTTTTCATTTGAAGTTCGTTTCTTAGAATTTCGTGGACCACGGTTTTGCCCAAATTAAGCTCTTCAGCCACCTGTCTGACCGTTAAACGACGGTCCCCATTAACACAAGTTCGAATTCTTTCCACGTTTTCGTCGGAATGTGAAGTGGAAGGACGTCCTGAACGTGGGTCATCTTGAACGCTTTCTCGGCCCTCTCTGAATCTTTTTAGCCACTTGTGGACGGTTGGTTCCTTCACAGCATCATCCCCATAAACTGTTCTGAGATCGGCAAAAATTTCACGGCCATTCTTGCCGAGTTTCGAGAGAAACTTGATTACGACGCGCTACTCTTCAACGGAAGCGGGCTCCATGCCGACGGGGTTTCGTTAAGAGGTAACTTCACAGATGGCGTGACAAGCCAGTTCGCACCGCACGGCGGTCAGACCAGAACTGAAGCATTGTTAGGGACATAAGGAAGGGGTCCTGCGCTTACCTGGCCTCCCCACTCCTCTTTCTCGCATTCCAGAACACTTTTATACGAACTTTCCGGACAGACCTCGTAGAAGGGCTAAAGAAAAATAAAGAAAGATAAAGAAGATACAAGGGCTTATATTGATATATGTACTCATTTTTTACCAGAGGGAGACTTTGTACAAAAGTCGATTGCTTGGGTACCTCTGTCCCATTCGTGTTTCTACCGTGAAGCAGTTGCGTTTGCATGGCTGTGTTTCAGTTTGAACTGTAGGATATGTATATGGCAGTGAATTTACAGGGTACAGAGAAATAACATCTGAGTCCTCAGGAATGGCAACGCATGGGGGCTATCATGGGCGAAACAGTATACTCTATTATGTCTATAGGCGACGGTTATCACTATCCATCAGGTGGGCCGTCAGCTTGTTTGCCATTCTAAGTTGTATAAAAAAAATATAACCAGTGAAAACCCCATCAAAGTAGTATTAAATTTCTCTATAAATTCAAATTCTTTCAAAACTCAATATTTAATTTATCGATAAATTGTTATTAATATAAATTTAAGTAATGTAAAAGGCGACTAAGATAACTTTATGGTGGAGAATGGGCAGCAGTGTCTTTCTTAAAACATCACCAAAGTCTATCTGCGATCACTAACTGTACTGCACAACTATATTCCAAAATGGCAAAGGCAGTCTATGGGGGAAGTTTGTGTTCAGTACTGGACAGTGTACACCTGATATGATAAGCTTTAGCAGATTCTATAATAGGTAGTATATAGTTGTGATAAGTTAATAAAGATACCGCCTACAATCAAAATACAAGCAGCCGTTTGTGCTTATTCTCGTAATAATATGAACATGTAATGTTGCTAGAGTTTTTATTATTCCTAACTCTGTTTGAAAAACACGGTCAATAATTTAATAAAATTGCTTAGTACTAAGACGTAATCTTAAACAATATGTTCAAAGTTATTTTCTTCCTACGGACCGTTCTCTTTTTTTTAAAGTTGGATAGTTCGAAATTGTATCTTAAGGTATATATAATAAGGCTTTGAAACGCGTAACTGGTCAGATTGCGAGTAAAATAAAAACAGGCGCGACCCGTCGCGTATAACAACTTCATCGGCGCTAACGAGCGGCTTGGAGCAAACCAGTCGGTGGACACGCCGTGCCATTATCGCCACCAATCGGATATAAAAATAAAAAAGCGACCCACAAAAAATATATTTCGAATTTATAAGACAATTTTCTAAACCAATTTAAAGTGGGTGTTATGTAATATCCGATTGGTTGTGTTCAGTTTTATTACTTGATTGCTGAGGAAAAGAAGGCAGTTTGTGTATGATATACGTAGTCGAAAATGTCTTAGGAGATTTTAAAAATTGGTGTATGGCTAGAGATGGGCAATCCACCTGGGTGGGTTTAAAGTCTGGTGGGTAAAAACCGGGTGTTTTGGGTTTATTGGGTTTAAACCCCATAAACACCCAAATTTTTGGGTGTTTATGATTTTGTACTTCATCATCGTCATCTCAGCCGCAAGACGTCCACTATACTGGACATAGACAATATTATTATGCAGCCTACAGAATAAAAAACTTTTAATTTGATTTTGAGTTTATTAAGAAAGAGATGAAAGTAAAATGTAAAACTACAGTCAATCACTGTCAGATTCAGAGTTATTACAAGCGATGAATTGTATAGGTTCGATAGGCTCTATTTCGTCTAAACTGTTATGTTCATTTACTTGCTCAATGAAAGCTTCTAAGGTATTTTCTTCATTAAACTGAATGTCCTCGCATTCAGCTTTATGTTTAAGATTCCAGTTATAACAAATGAATGAAATTTTTTCAGTTCTTTCAGTTGTAAGTCGATTTCTTTTGTTATTATGTATGTAGCCTTGGATACTAAAGGAACGCTCAGTGGCTGCCGAAGTACAGGGAGCTGATAGAATACGAATCGCTACTTTGCTTAACTCAGTGGAACCACAAATACCTTTCCACCATATTAGGGGCTCAATGCTATCTAATGAGCTCCATACAAATCCTCTGGCCCAAAAGTTTTCTTTAGCTTTATAACACGCCAAATCTGCCATTACATTTGACAAACTTAAGTGTTGGCTTAAATTGTAGATAAACTCCATACCCTTAAGTTCTTCCTCTTGAGTAAGTTCGACTCCTAGAGTCCTGGGGTCTAGAATATATGCTGCAAAATGTATTGGCCTCATTGCCATATTGCATCTTGAAGATACTGATGTTAGAATCTGCTGTTTGCTTTCTTCGCTCAATGTCGAAATCTCATTTAATGCAAAACGTATCTTAGCTTGTACATCTCTAAATGTAATGTATGTGCGATGCAAACGATTCTGGTCGCTCTCTAAGTAAAATATGCTTTCAGTGACTGGTTCCAAAATACTTATACATTCCCCTGTCTTCGTCCAGAAATCATCACTTAGAATTAAATCTTTAATATCTCTTGAAATTACCACATCTTCTCTAACTGTTAATATTTGCAAAGCTATCTTATTTGCTTTCAAACTTTTTAACGAAGTAACATGACTTCCCCATCTTGTAGCACAAGGCAATTTTAGTGTTTGTGTAGAATCTTCACCCTGCCTTGATTTTATCAACAAGGAACTTAATCGTTGACTCCTTTTAACAGTTTTTATTATATTTATGGCTTGCATAATAAACACAGTTACTTCTTGTATCTTTACAATATCTTGGCACAACAAGTTAAGGATATGTGCACAGCAACCGAGAGGAACAACATGTGGATATTTGAGTTTTGTTAATTCGAATGCCTTTTGTATATTTCTAGCGTTATCGCCAATAAGTACAAGAAACTTATTTGCTCCATACACTTTCATTACTTTTTCAACTTCTTGGCTAAGGTATTCACTAGTGTGAGGATTACTTTCTGTATTCAAACTTTTAACGTATGCAGGTTGAGGTTTTGATATAAGAAAGTTTATTATTCCTTCATTTCTTAAATTAGACCAGCCATCGCACTGAAGGTGTAAGTAACTACAAGCATTTAGTTCCTCATTTAACTCAAAACGCATTTCTCTATATATTTTATCTAAGTATTTTGTCGCTAAAGCTTTACGTGAAGGTATTTTAAATTTTGGTTGCAATTTTTCGAAAAATTGTATCCATAAAGGATGTTGCACCATCGATAATGGCGTCCCTGTTACAAATATAGCTCTCGCTAATTCTGTTTTTATATGATCATCGGTGTCTTGAAACTCAGCATTTATTGTAGTGTTAGCAGACGACGAGGGGCTTATAAAAGAATCATTTGTCTCTATCTCTGACAGTCCAGACATTTTGGTTTTGGACGAGCTATCTTTTATAAGTTTCATAGAGTCTTTTAATGTTTCTGGAGATTTTGGACAAGTGATAAGATGTTGAAGCATTTTGGCAGCATTACTGAATTTGTAGACCTTATTACAAAGCTTGCAAGAAACAGACTTGTTTGGTAAAGTACGGTAGTGCTCCCATATGCGTAAATCTTTAGGTCTCCCCATTGAACCTAAAAAAATGAACGATGATTAGTTGGTCTGACGAAAATTCAACAATAGAGTGCCTATTTTTTTACAATGATTATTTCTTGTTATTTACAATAAATTTATTAAAAAAATAATAAAATAAATACAAAAAACCTTTGTAAAATTACATCTCCTCGGAGGATTAAACGCAGACGCTAGTTTATTATCGTATTGTTCTGTATTTTTCTCAGCAACTTCTTTAATTCGATTAGGTACTTACGCATATTATGTTAAAAATAAATATCTAGTACACATCTTAGGCTATCCACCATTATTATCCAATGACGACTCTCAGCTAACTATGCACTATCATCCAAAATAAACGTGTATGGAAAATTTTATCCCAGTCGGTTGAGGATTGAGGATAATTGCATCAACATACGAACATACCTACATACTTTTATTTACATAACGCAAGCTAAATAAAAGCTTGTAATAATACATCTAATTTTAAGTTAAAATTGTTAAGTGATCATGATATAATTGTATCATTCAAAAATCCACTTACCTTTAATTATTTCTTGTTAAGTATAAATATTATTTCAAATCTGCTCCCTTAATATGCACTTTTTTACTGCTTTTCCTACCTAACACGTTACCAGGAAGTCACGTTACCAGAGTCAGAGTAATAGTGAACACGTTTGACAGTGATTGTCGTCGCCTCATATTCAGCGTCGACGAATAGGGGAATCCCCAGTCATAATGTATTGCATGCGTGGCGGTCTTACTTCAAATCCATAAACAAAGAGATAATTACAGAACTCGATACTAGATGGCGCTGTTTTTGTTTGAAGAAAGTTTGCGGGCTAAAATACATAGAATTTCATCAATGACTTCCACAAAGAACAACATTTCTGTTTTTTCTAAGTCCGTATCTCTTCCGTATATTTCATAAGATATAAGCTTGGGCTACATTGTTATGCAACGTGATTTTGTCGCTGTCTTGCTAGCAGGGTTGACAGATATACGATTTAAATCGTACTCATACTATTATTTGTCTATTTTTTAATGTACGATCGTAAAGATTATGATCGTAATTCGCACAAAAACATACGACTTTTTGGTTACCTGGCAACATTTTTATTATGAAACGAACATGCTCACATCATCAGTCACATGCAACAATTTATTGGGGATTTCCCCTTCACATCTGGCAGTCCTGCTTGCTAGAATATAGGTAAGTCAGCCACAGTTACTGACGATCGATATTTAAAGGGTATTGTTTTTGTGCTAAATATTTCATAAAAACGTTATTTAATACTTTGTGGATTATTAATTTAGTTGATAATCACTGGAAGTAAAATGGATGCTAATTTGAGAGATCAAGATCTTCGTATAAAACAGTTAATAAAAGAAAATCTACGTAAGTACTCTTTTTATACCTAGGTAGGTAAGGTATAATAAACACAAAAGGTACTTAGATCGCGTGTGTTCTAAGCATTTATTCTAATAAATTTAATTTAAAATTGTAGAAAGAAAAAAATGTCTGCCAAGCCGTAGCCGAAGCCGATCTCCAAATATATTTGGCGATAGTGAGACCCAGTGTCCAGATGATTTACCCAGCGTCGTCGCAACAAAGAAAAAAACGAGGATAAAGTAAAAGAAAATTTACTGAAAGAAGAAACAAACTGTTCTAAATGCTTAATTTATGGAGAAGAGGATAAAAGAAATGAGTATTTCGGACTGTTAGTGGCTCAAGAATTTAAATATATACGGCCATGTGTGCGAACGAGGTGTTATGAAGAAATTTTAAAGTATCTACGGGAAGCAAAAGGCCAACATGTTGATCAACTGCAACATGAAAACACTGAAAATTAATTACTTTCATTTTATTATATATAGATTTTTAAAATTTCCTGAAATATTATTAGTTAACGTTTTATTTAATATTGTAGAATTGATCAATACAATTTATAAAAATAATTTATTGGTATTACTTACATATTTTCAAAAAAATACGTAAAAACCTATTTTTTTGGGTGATTATGGGAGTTTATGGGTGTTTATTGGGTTTTTACCAAAGCACCGGGTTTAAACCCGGTGCTTTGCCCATCTGTATGTATGGCTAGATTTTTTAATTGTGGCAGTATTATGTAGGCTATATGACGACAGTATAAATATGACTTGTTCTCTAAGAATTATGTTAGTCCTAGACACTAACTACAATTACAGTTTTACCGATTGATTTGAAACTTCAAAAAAAATACAGACCTTAATTATATTTATTTAAAAAATCTTGATAAGGTATATTACTTGATATTAATCATCATGTACAGGTTTTCTTAGATGCTGATACTATAACAAAAAAAGTATACATCAATGTATAGAATAAAACAGGTCGATTGATGGATGTGTAGTACATATCGCCATTTATCAATCACGACGGATACATCCACCTCCATGATGTATCCTGTTTTTTTAAGGTCGTTTTCCTTAAATGTAATACATAAAGTTATATGGCTTATATTAATAGACTGTGAATTTACAATTAATCAAAATAAAAGAAAAAAATACTTTAATGTAAAGAAAATATTTTTTTATTAAATACTATTATCAGTAAAAGGTTTTTCGTTATTTTCCACTTTGTACAGTTAGCTAAAACGCAATTCTGTTGTTCACGCGCGTTGATGTCTTTCCTTCGGCTGAAAACGTTTAAAAAAAATTACCAAATACATATCCAAAATAAAATAAAAAAAAAATAACGTATTTTATATAAAATTCAAAGCTTGTAATTGTTATTTATTGGTAACTAAAATTTAAATTCTCTTTCGTCGGTAATTACTTCTTTGTTTTAATTTATTATATGAATAAGAAACATTGACATAATAAACAGACCATAATTATAGAAAATATTGTAACAAAGGCACAAAAATAATAGAGCCTCTTTATTTTCAACCGACTTCGAAAAAAAGGATAAATCAAAATAACTGGTTTTGCCCCAATTAAAGTCGGGTTTTTAGTAGTACACAATTTTTAATTGTTTAAAGCTATTTTAAAATCTGGAATAGTGAAAATATTTAAAATTTTGAATATTGATAAAACTGAGATTGGTACGACAGATTTGTTATGTTGTCATAATTTCTAGTATGTTATATTCTCGGACAGATAGAAATGCTTTATTAGATATGTAGTGGCTATAATAATTATTCGTTTGTCTTGGCACAAAGCGGCTGTCAACGTCAACAGTGATGTCTGGTGGCAGTTCGATTCTTACTAACTGATTAGAAATGATGACTACATATTTTAAAAGTAGATATAATGACAGATAGACATGTTGATTGATTCGTACCATTGAGTTTTTTCGGTGCAGTTAACTTTATTGAGGAATTTATAGTGTACAAAACCATGAACATTCTAAGGACTTTTTCCTTTTTTCTAATTCGCATTTTAAAAATCCGTAACTCTGTATAAGATATATATTTTAATACAGTATAGTTTTTGTTTTTTTTTTTTTTGCGTAGAGAGATCCGTTTTCGCTATTGGAAACGGGCGACAGGTCAGCTCGAAATATGGAAGATGGATTTAAGAATGTATGTACAAACAGGATATGGTATGGTAATGTGGTATAGTTATTAAGGTAAGCAGTGAACTTATTATTAATTGATTTGGTTCTATTCACAGGTGACTTTGATGGTCACGATTTGAAAGATGGGGTAGTGTCGTTAAAGGGTGAGTTCAATACTCATATATATTACTGTATAAATACTGTATAGTTTCTACTGTATTACTGAGATTGGATTTTTCCTGAAGTTTATATTATATAACTTGAAATGGGAAACAAATTAAATGTACACTGAATAGATTATGGCAATAGTTTATAGATGATATATAGGAGGATAGAGTAGATGATGTTAAATATAAAGAATAACATTACCATACCATACTATATCAGTAGTTATATCTCCACTGCTGAACATGCCTATTTCTATTGGGAGATTTTCCTAGTAGTCTCCATGCTTGGTAGGCGGGTTGGCAACTTTTTTTATACCATTGAGGTGGCAAATGAGCATACGGCCCACCTGATGGCAACTGCAATTAGGCCACTTTCTACCATCAAACAGCTCGACATCGACAGAAACTTTACCACCATACTTTAAAGCCTAGATGGTCGCGTATACCTACAGCGGTTTTAGAGATGTTTCCTCCCATGAATGTTCAGGTTATGGAATGAGCTCCCTGTCGAGATTTTTTCAAGAGACCACGGCATGGGGTTCTTCAAAAAAGTGATAAAGAGGTTTCTTCAGGGTCGCCAACGCGCGTGTAATGCCACTGGTATTGCAGGCTGGTGACTGCTTACCATTTGATGGATCGCATGCTTGTTTGCCACCTCAGTGGTATGAAAAATACCATAGATCTTTCACATAACGTAGGTATATTTTTGTTAGCGACTATCTTTGTGTTCGCTACTTTATATGCTTTTTTCAGAAGTCTTCTGGTAGTCTTTATTGAAAACAGGTTCTAATTTGGTATAGTAGTATTTGTGTAATACCATTTTTTTATTTTTTATACTACTTATAATGGCAAATAAGCTGACGGCCCACCTGATGGAAAGTGGTAACCGTCGCCTATAGATATGAGCAGTACCATGGACATAACAGAGTATACTGTTTCGTCCATGATACCCCCCATGCGTTGCCATTTCTGAGGACTCAGATGTTATTCCTCTGTACCCTGTAAATTCACGCCATATCCCACCCTTCAAACCGAAACACAGCCATGCAAACACAACTGCTTCACGGTAGAAACTCGCTGGTAATGTAGCTTTATATAGGTGGAACTAGGTATTTTTAAAATCGATTGAGTACGTTTTGAGTTTATTTATTACAAACAAACAATTAAATCTTTCCTCTTTATTGTAGTATAGAAAAGGAAACCAGCAAACTGCAACAATTGAAGTCGATTTTACGCATTCAGATGGAACGCATTCAAATTTTAATAGCAAAAGTAATGACTTTTGTTATTAAAATTTTACTTTTAGAACAGGCTCGTGTTGCTTTTGATTATCGTATATTGGCAACACTGTTGTGCATTTATATATACCTTTGGTAATCCGTACTAAGATAATAAATTTAAAAGTGAGTTCGTTTGTTTGTTACCTTATAGTGCTTTAATGGTTTAACTAATCACTATGAAATTTAGTACATACGTACTATATGGAATGGAGAAGGACATAGGCTACTTTTTATTCTGATCTGTAAACACATCTCGGTCACGCGGATAAAGTAGCGGGCAAAAGCTAATAAATTTAAAAAAAAGGAAAAACTGTGTATGACGGGCGTTAATATTTACGAACATTTCATTTTTTGATATCTTAATATGTTGGCCGTAATAATTTAAAAAATAGGTTTTTATATTTAGAACTCCTACACAATATGACCCTTTGAGAAAACGTATTTACTTATATGAAAGTATTAATTTATACACGCCGGGAACCAGACACAAATAAATAAAGCCTTCACATAAAAATAAAAAAAGGTTACAAACCTTACTAAGCTTTCCAACAGAGTTGGAGCACAAAAGCGAAAAAGACAGAGATAGTGCTCGTTTCAAGTATGAAAGGGACGTAAAAGATTGGGCCACGTGACACCTGCCGACCGCCAAATGAAGATATCGCAGCTGGATGCGAGAGAGTCGAGTGCAGTGGTTCCAAACCTTTACGAATCGAAGCAATTAAAAAAATATATACGTTTACACCAAATAAATAAATAGCTAAATTTCTGTATAGTTTTGGCTTTGTATGTCAGTTTTTTATACAGCATACAGCAATTAGATTATGAGTGATTGTTTGGAGCCCAATGATAAGCATATGCAAGTGGATATTTCCTATGTAACTGTATAAAAATATATAGATATGTTAACGTAATTATTATGTTACAACCATAGTGTATGTCTGTAAGGTGAGGGTCAGCTCTTGGCGTTCATACTTTGTAGCCATTAATATATTATACATATAATTGATTCAGATTAAAAGTAAGGGATCGTGATAATATCTCTCTTGGTCTGTTGTTGCTCACTGACTTCTTCGTATGCCACTGTTTTCTTAACTGAAAGAAGTCTCTTTTAAAGATATGTTTACCTTGGTTCACATTGAGGTTGATTTTGAGGCGCTCTAATTATAATTACTGCTGTATTCTTGGGCGCAATAAAGTGCACAAGTATATAATTTTCATAATAAAATTATATACATGTGCATTTTTGTATGTAAAATTATATAATTTAAAAATTTAAACTGTTGACGATCTGCGCCCGCTTAACATCAGCATGTCCACAGATGTTACCATGAACACCACCGCACCAAACCGGCGAACGCTGGTACCCAGTTAACTCGAACACAATAGATATTTCTACAACAGGATATTGCTTCATTTACTACGAAGATGTTGCCATATAAAAGCAGTAAAATGTACTTTATTTTATTACCTTCGATAGAATATGGCTGTTTGATAATAGGTTCAGATATATATTATTATAAAGTGTTGAGATAATGTCAAAATGTTCATTTCACTTGGTCTTGGCTTCATTACACTACTATTAATTAGTACACTATTACGATATATTATTATATGATATTCTAAGTTTATATGAAAAAATCACATTTAGAAAATAAGTTATATTTTTGAATATGCGCACTTATGTATTTATAGTAAGTACATATCTATGTATTAAAGTTTAAAAAATATTGGTATGAAAAACTATATTTGTCTAAAAGAGATCTCAGTCTAGATACACAATCTATAAATAATAATAAATATATTTTTGTAAAAAGAAAAATGATAAAAAAGAAAATAAATACTGTTACCTCTACGTGGAATATGAAAATACCTAGTCGTTGAAAGTACCTCGAGTTTATGTTTGATGCAGAAATTCACCAAAGGGGAGTCAAATAGATATGATAAAATACACATAGTCATATTTTATTATCGTAAAATATTATATCTTAAGAAATACTATATAGTAGTCTCTACTTTACTCAAAATAGAAAAAGTCTTT